ATCTAGTCGCTAGCTATCATACTCGATATAGCTAGCTAAGTCAATAAAAGTGGTACGGATAGCTAGCTATCACAAGCCGATATTGCCCGATAACATATTTTTATAGCAAGATAATCTCACAGGCATTTTTTTGCTTGGGAATTCCGTGCTGAATATTCCGTGCGGAAAATTCCCCGTGCTGAACTTTCCGATTCCCGAGTCTGATGTTAACTATTTGACGAAATCCGCACAGTGAAAATGATGATAGTGTGGAACCTATCATTTATGTCAAGGTATATTACCAGTATTATAACTTAAATTAGTGGAAAATAAGTTGTCGAGATTGTATTGCTTATGCCACGTATACATCTCAGGTTTTGTCAAAAGAACGAGAGACACCATTTTAGCGTGCCGACATATTTATTGTTCAGACTTGTAATAAACTTGGTCTTATAATGAACAGTATCATAAATACTCGATTTTCTAAGCGAAACTCATCCGTCTATTTCCTTTTCTTCGTAATTACATACTTCTGCTGCATACAGCTTATTTCACGATCTTCTCTACTCTGTATCCAATTCTGGGAAAATGTACATGAATTCCATTATCCAATTCGATGACCGTTTCTTTTCCATTTAACCCGATCAACTTGCCTTCCTGTGGATGAGTTGGCTTTGCATCGGTTGAATTGATAACAACCTGATCTCCTTCTTTGAGCAAAAGAGGATCGTTAGAATCGACACCGCTGACTGGATCTAAGTTACTTGCAAGAATAATTCGTTTAGCTTCATCTCCTTTGATTTGTATTGAAGGAGATTTATTCTTTTCAACCTGTACCATAAACCGATCTATCCAAGTGTACACTTTAGGAAACTGTTCTTTTGATAATGATGGTTCCTCGCTAAACTTCAAATCTAACAATGCCCACCTGAGAACCCAGATGATTTCGATATCACCAAGACTTAGATCTTGTCCGAGAATCCAGTCGCTGTGTAGATTGTTTTCGAGTGTGGTAAGATATCCTCGAGTTTCACTCAATGCATGTGGACGAAGTTGCTCGAAATTCGGATCGATAAGCAATGGAAAGAGATCCTTGCGGTCCTCGATGAACGATGGCGGCATTCTGTTAATTCGGAATGCTCCCAGGACCACACGGAATATGCCGTCTGCCAGTACTTGCAAGCCTTTAATGGCGCCTGCTAGATCTTTCGAAGAGAGAACAAGTTTGTCGGAAAACTTCGTGTTAAGTGCATCGATAATAGCGCTTGTATCACAATAAATATCTTTCCCAATTGCTAGTACTGGAATCCGACGATAGTTGATGCCAATAGATTGAAGATCTGGACGTGGAAGGATCATTGGTTGAATGCAGCTTTTGAAATCGATGCCTTTCAGTGCAAGAAGGTGGTTAATCTTCTGAGCGTATGGAGATTGTGGATATTCGTAGAGAATAATAGAGGACATTATATTTTTTGTTTAGCCTGTGTTATGAGTGAGTGTTGCGACTGCTTTATTTGCGATAGTTGTGTGAGGAAAGAAGGAACAGTAAAATCATTTGTTACTATAATCGTCATCATCATCTTGCTTTCTGCATTTATCCTTTTTCAAATATATGTTTTCACAAAATAAAATGATATACTTCTTTCTGTTCTGTAATGACGATGGACACCTGTCCTTACAGTTTTTTTCTTATCAGTTGATACATTTTTAAATAAAAGGACTTATAATATTTTACCAAACAAAAAAATTTAATAGAATTTTTAAGTGGTGTTGTTGTTAGTGATTGATAATTATTAATGAATATCTACCTACACTACAATTGTAAACAGATCGTATTTTACACCTAAATATGAGCATGAGTAAAAATATACAAAGGCGGGTGATGATAATATGACGCTTATTTGCATTTTGTAGTGAATAGCAACAGCAGAAAAAGAGAAAAAAGACAATATTATACTGGTGACATGATACTAAGTAAAGAAGAACAAAAAAAATGAATAATATTGACTAATGCTGCTGAGTTCTTTTACGTTTTCCTGTTTTATTTTCTTAATATTTTCTGTGTTAAAAATAAATGGAGAAATATATGCAGGCTACATTATTATATTTTGTTCACTTTCTGATAACTAGGGATTGTAATGTACACAGATAAGCGAATCATTTTCTCGACTCACTTAAAGAATCCAATTGAATTTTTTATCAGTTAATACTTTTGAGCTACTTTTAGTAGCGTTTACTCCAGATTTATTCCGAACTACAAAATGATTTATCGTAATACATCTCTGTCGCCTTCATAGACTCCGGCCTAGTTCCTGAAAAGGAATTGAATCCAGCTTTTCGAAAAATTTGAGTGACTTTTTTTGAGAAAGTAGTTCAAAACATTTTGCTGTTTAAAAAAGTCTATAAGATTCTTTAAGTGACTCTAGAAAATGAGTCGCCCATCTGTGATGATACGTACAGATATTTTTAATTTTTATTTCTTTTTTAGATTTACTGGCTTTTCTAATAAAAAGAAAAAGATAAAAGAAATAATGTATCTATCCTATCTTTTTCTATCACCATTCTTACTCGTTTGTTGTACAATATTGTCAGTACATGCAGGTATTTCTTCTTCTTCTGTCTTTAATGTCATAAATATTCAATTATTCTCTCGTTTCTTTCTATACTGTAGTAAATTTGGACGAAAAATGCGATAAATCAGTATTATGTACAGTACCACATTCAATATGTTCAAATTCAACATGTGTCTGTGATACTCCATATTATTTACCATGTAATATAAATGAATGTAGTAAGTACAAAGTGAGAGAGTTTTTCTCAATATTTACTATATCATATGTCTATTGACAGAACTAAATGCAATAAAATTTCGTTATGCCGGTGAAGAATGTCGTGTCAATGAAAATTGCCTTGAATTTAGTAAATGTGTAAATAAAATATGTGTGTGTGATGCAAATTATTCAAATCAAGAGCGAGGTCTTTGCCGTAAGTATCATTTTCCGAATGTTGATATCACGAAGAGAAAGTTGTGTCTTCCAAAAGAAGCTTTCTGTCTTTACAACGTTTTTTGGAATTTAATATCAAAAGTTGATCGTCATTATTTATATCAAGTAACGTTCATCTTCCATTCACTCGATCCTTGACTGGATGAACTAATTCGTAACGAATATAACACTGATGAGAGCAACATGGAGGGTGCCCGAAAGTGAAAAAATTTGAGAAAAATATTATTTGTTTTCTTTCGTTTGATTGAGTAGAACTGATCGATTTACCTCGAAAAACTGAAATCTACATTTTTTAGAAGCCATTTTTAGAGATGTTAGTCGATAAAATGGTCGGTGGCGGTGTGAGAAAATGTTCTGTGTAGGAGCTAAGGAACAGATGATTTAGGAAATTGTGAAGTTTATTTCGACACTCACTCTTAGTATCTATTCCCCATTCCTCAGCTGATAAAATCTGCATCCGAGCCTTAACACGTACGCTGGAAATTTGTGATTGTCTTTGTATTTCCGATAGTTCCTCTTGTTTTTATTCCACGTTTTATTCTTCGTCATACAACGCAAAGCTCCTAATTCTTCCATACATTGCGATCACTAAATTTCATTTGACACCCTTACCTACTTGCTAAAACTTTCAAATTCATCGCAATCTCTAAAAAACAAAGTTAAAAGTATGATTTTTTGAAAAATGAAATACTTCCCAGTAATTTTATTATTGATTTATCTACCTTTCTCAACTGCAAAACAGTCTTCTTGTTAGTTGCTATTGTATAGAAGTTAACCGATTTCACCTCTGTTGTGCACATAATTTTTATTGTGAAACTCATTTCAAGTTTCCACTATATAAATGTTAGCAACAAATGCTGCTAAAGACCTAAATGAGAAAACTTTCTATAGTATTCTCTAAAGACCACTTTGTTCCAAGATCATAGATGAATAAAACTGTTTCAGTTCTACGAATCTTATGAATTTGCCTATAGTACAGATAGATAAGTACAAATTTACGCTTTTGTAAGGTACGAATATTGCAAAAATAGAGCAGATTCTTTTCTGTTTGTGTTTGTTTATTTGCAAAAAATAGATTTTTTTTCTCTTTTTTTGGCATGACTGGATAGAGCCCCAGAGTAAGAAAAAGTAAAAGTAAACTTGAAAAAGTTCGACAGGTCTGCAGTTTCAAAAAAACTCATTTTCTTTCCGGTGTTTCTAATTTTTCCAAAGCATCTTTTCTAGATTCAGTTTAAAAACTGAGTATGCGAATGATGCTTGATCGAGATTGAAGTCAAAGGCCTATTCGGTATGGACGTCTTAGACTCCCTCTATAAGAAGTTCAGAAACAGTTTCGCAAACGTATCAAGTTCTTCTTTGTAAGGAGATGAAGTCGACTTTTTGTACTTCATTAGAACTGCCATTAAACGAGCTTTGAAAGTACAGATCGCTTGTTTTTCCATATTGATTTGTCACTGACGAGGGAACTTTTTTAAGTGATGCGTTCCGATTCGGTTCGTTCGCACATCATTCGATAGACGGCAGTAGGGTACTAAAAAGCCTAAAATATTAGCGGCCCTTTGACTTCTTTCAAAAGTTATAGGGATTTTCCTATCATTCCCAGCCAAAATCGCGAGTCAATTAAAAATTCATAACTCTAGCAAATGAACTTCTGCGGACCTGAAATTTACAGAATAAGTGGCCCACAATGCCAGCTAAACAGCACCAAAATTTCAAATTGCTGTGACGTGTACTTCCCACGAAATATAATTGGAAATAAGACGGGAGACGTTGTGTGGATTAATCATTTTCGATACAGTGTCTGAAGAATACAGACGCACATAAGTTACAAGGAAAAACTAACCGTCTGAATAACGTCTGGAAACTTCGTACCTACAGTGGTTTTTCCTAAATTATATGTCGTATGTTCGTGAGTACAACGTGAGAACCATTGAACATAAGTTCCAAGAAAAATAAGGCTAACAAGTCATCTAAAAGACACAAAACGAGGAAATGTTAACTCAGAAAAGCCTATTTTTTAACGGATAAAAAGATAAACTCGTAATTTGGGAAGTACACGTCACAGCAATTTGAAATTTTGGTGCTGTTTAGCTGGCATTGTGGGCTATTTTTGCTGTAAATTTCAGGCCCGCAGAAGTTCATTTGCTAGAGTTATGAATTTTTAATTGACTCGCGATTTTGGCTGGGAATGATAGAAAAATCCCTATAACTTTTTTAAAGACGCCAAAGGGGCCGCTAATATTTTAGGCTTTTTACTACCCTACTGCCGTCTATCGAATGATGTGCGAACGAGCCGAATCGGAGCGTATCACTTAAAAAAGTTCCCTCGTGAGAAAAGTCAGTTTTTCTAAAACCGGAACAAAAATATCGGAATTGTGCGATAATTCTCAATTTTCTTCATCAGACCTCAAGCTTTATACAATAAAGATATCTTACTTGTGTATTGTAGTTTTCTAGGTGAAAATTCAAAACCAACGCCGTCAACTAATACAGTACATCATTCGATTGAGTTTGTGATGCTGGCTCCGAATGAGATATCTTTATTGTATAAAACTTAAGTTCTGATGAAGAAAATTGAGAATTACCAGCAGAATTCCGATTTTTTTGTTCCTATTTTATTAATTTCAATCTCGATCAAGCATCATTCGCATACGCAGTTTTTAACCTGAATCTAGAAAAGATACTTTGGAAAAGTTAGAAACACCAGATATTTTGTCAAAATCTCTAATTGAGGCAAAAATGGAACTAATCGAGTTAAACTAGACTATATATAACTTATATATGTCATTGTTCACGTGAGAACATTGTCCATCTTAATTCGTCCACTTGTTCTCTAATAAGGTTATTTTTTTTTTATTTTAGGAAAAAGCTTTAACATAGCATGTGCAAAACATGAGGAATGTTTATCCGGTTATTGTTCGACGACGTGTAAATGTGCTCCCGGTTATGTAATAGATGGCAATAAATGCAGTAAGTATCACTCAATAGTCTCTTCTCATCTTTTATTACTACAACTAAACGTTCATTATTTTATAGAATTACGTGTTCTTGATATTTATTCAAATTTCGAAGATGCTAAAAAAGCAAATAGTTTATGTGAAGCTGATGAACAATGTCAACCATTAAATTCAAATTGTTCACCTGAATCAAATACAACTGATCGTTTTTGTAAATGTATCACTGGTTATAATGCTGATTATAAAAAACAACAATGTGGTATGTATTTTTATCTATCTATTAATTTATTTTTAACAAATATTTTCTTAACTACAAGTATCATATTTATTTTTATGTTTATTATTATTAGATCCAACACGATCCGAACAATTATCACCATTATATAGCTCAGAAATATTTGAGGGTGAATGTGTTGCATGTAAAGATCCAAATGCAATTTGTACGCGTGTTGGAAACGTTAAATCGTGTTGGTGTCGAGCTGGTTTCAGAAAATATGAGACAGCACCAAATAACTGCTGTAAGACTCTTTTTTATAGTACTTAGGGCATACCGAAAATAATGATATTTACAGAAAAAGCTTCATAGAATAAAATTAATCAGGCTTTTACTTCATCGAGTGTTTATGGGCTACTAGCCATCCCAAAATACAAGGCCATCGGTTACGTTTTGAATAACTTTTGATAGAAGATAGATAGAGACCTGTGATTTTCAGAATTCGATAGAGAAGACTTTTACACAGATTTCTACAAGCCAAAATAGTTTTTGAAAGGAAACTGAAGACTGAGTTTTCAGAGGATATTTGGAAAACTAAGTTGTAGCTGCCAGAACTAACTTAGAAATACATCAGTTTTTTCGCTGGATTTAGAGTCCCCTACAAAACTGGATCCAACGACATCTTGAAAACCCATGGTTCGAACCTGGCAAGGATTTTCTCCGAAACACCAGGACTACCCTTCTGTTAGGTTTGAGACTGGTAGAAATGCTTGGAAAGATAGATTATCGAGCACGCTGAATCTCGTGGCAATGTTAATTTCCAGAACAAAATGCGAAAACCGAGAAAAAACCTATACTAGGTGAAATAACTCATTCTTGGTAATTTTCATCAAATTTTAAAAACTTCATAACTCTTTCAAAATCCATCGAACCTACTTCATAATATAAAGATATACGGTGTTTTATCTGCAGTACAGTATAAAGCTTAACAGATGTTTTAAAAATCAACACAAATTACTTGGGTTTTTGAAAGCTTTTCCAGAAACGTTCGAAACCAAAAGAATACTTTTTATTAATCTTAAGTATAGAACCTGACTGAGTGGATAAAACAGAGTATATTTTTGTATTATGAAGTAGTTTGGACGGATTTTGAAAGAGTTATGAAGTTTTTAAAATTTGATGAAAATTACCAAGAATG